CGATCGATCGCTGTCCTGCCCCCAGGCCATCATCAACAGCACGGTCACGCCCAACATGACGTTCACCAAGACCTCGCAGAAGTTCGGGCAGTGGGCGGACAGCCGGGCCAACACGGTCTACGGGCTGGGCTTCGCCTCCGAGCAGCACCTGGCGCAGGTGAGCCCCGAAATTGGGGACGGGGGGGTCAGGGGAGCACCTGGAGCAGGTGAGCCCCGAAATTGGGGAACGGGGCGGGTCAGGGGGGCACCTGGCGCAGGTGAGCCCCGAAATCGGGATTGGGGGTCAGGGGGGCACCTGGCGCAGGTGAGCCCCGAAATTGGGACTGGGGGTCAGGGGGGCACCTGGCGCAGGTGAGCCCCGAAATTGGGGAACGGGGCGGGTCAGGGGGGCACCTGGCGCAGGTGAGCCCCGAAATTGGGATTGGGGGTCAGGGGAGCACCTGGAGCAGGTGAGCCCCGAAATTGGGATTGGGGGTCAGGGGGGCACCTGGCACAGGTGAGCCCCGAAATCCAGATTTGGGGGGTCAGGGGGGCACCTGGCCCAGGTGAGCCCCGAAATTGGGGAACAGGGGGGGTCAGGGGAGCACCTGGCCCAGGTGAGCCCCGAAATCGGGACTGGGGGTCAGGGGGGCACCTGGCCCAGGTGAGCCCCGAAATTGGGGAACGGGGGGGTCAGGGGGGCACCTGGCGCAGGTGAGCCCCGAAATTGGGGAACTGGGGGTCAGGGCAGCACCTGGCGCAGGTGAGCCCCGAAATTGGGGAACTGGGGGTCAGGGGAGCACCTGGAGCAGGTGAGCCCCGAAACTGGGGAACTGGGGGTCAGGGGAGTACCTGGCGCAGGTGAGCCCCGAAATTGGGGAACTGGGGGGTCAGGGGAGCACCTGGCGGAGGTGAGCCCCGAAATTGGGGAACTGGGGGGTCAGGGGAGCACCTGGCGCAGGTGAGCCCCGAAATTGGGGAACTGGGGGGTCAGGGGGGCACCTGGAGCAGGTGAGCCCCGAAATTGGGGAACTGGGGGGTCA